GCACCATTCCATCCTGGCACTAAAATACCAGCAGTGCAACTCAGAAAATGGGGCTGGTTAACGCCAGTCTCCACCCACACAACTCCTATAACCCATGCAATGTATATGAGGTCTCTCCACACTCTACCCTAGACAAAATGTTTACGGAATATCAGTTTGAATGGATGCAAAATTTGTAGGTGCCTGGGACACCCCATGTGTCAGACTGACCCTGTAGACACATGAGAGCTTGATTCCCAGCCCTGCTATTTACGTAGCTGTGTGCTCTTATGAAAGTTGTTAATGGTCCTTGGCCTCAATTTCCTTGTGGTGATAATGATGTCTGCTTCATAGGGCTTTTGTGACCATTAAACCTAAGCGCAGAAAGCAGTGATGACTAGCAGTTCCATAACTGGCAATGCAACCAGGGCAAACAGAGCAACATGTACTCTGGCACCTTCTCAAGGGTTGGGGAAAGGGGGTCCTTGCTTGGCCACAAGAGGTCCTAGACTAGACAGCTCCATCCTCCATGCACTTCCTGCTATGCTTCCCTGATCAGTGATTCTGTGGGAGCAGATCTGTGAGCTTGGGTCTGGGCTGTCTAAGGGCAGAGGGAGCTTAAACATTTGTACAATTAGAAAAATCATTATTAAAGAGTTCATTTCACCAGCATTTTGATGTCCAGGGTCAAAGCCTTGGCTATGCCATTTTGTTTTATTTATTTATTTTTCCTTATGTCCTTTATTTTATCGACACCCCTCCCCCCTTCACCAATGGTCTCCCTATACCTTCTTCTACCACCACCCACCCTTCTTTGTCCTGCAATCACTCAAGTACTGGTTGACTTCATATTATCTCACAAATACTTTTCCAGTTTGGGCTTTTTTTCTCTTTTCACAGGTGAGGTAATGTCTCTCATATAGTTGGGGATTATGAACCTGGGCTCAGAAGGAAAGTTGGTTAAAAAATTGGATGGTTGGGTTTGTCATGAGAATAAGTCACAGAGCTTTGTTGTGAAGCATATGGCCTTGGACCTTCATTGAAATTTGTTCTTTAGAATATCAAGTCTTGGTCTGTGTTAGCTTTTAAAAAAATATTTTTATTGATTTCAGAGAGGAAGGGAGAGGGAGAGAGAGAGATAGAAACATCAGTGATGAGAGAGAATCATTTATCTGATGCCTCCTGCACGCCCCTATTGGGGATGGAGCCCAAAACCCAGGCATGTACCCTTGACCGGAATCAAACCAGGGACCCTTCAGTCCACAGGCTAATGCTCTATCCACTGAGACAAACCAGCTAGGGCTATGTTAACTTTCAAACCAACCAATGAGACATAGCCCAAAGGTTAGAGAAGGAATGGAACTTAGGTGGCACCTAGCCAACACTTTGATTTTGGAGTTGTGGAAATGGAAGCCCGGAGAGGTTAAGGAGAGGTGCAAGGTCTTGCAATCAGTGGCCGAGCAGAGACTGGAACCCTCAGCCCTGCCCCGACACCAGGGCTTGTCTGTCTACAGGAAATTGCCCTGCCCTGAAAGCAGCACCTGTCTCTTGTGAGAAAGCACATTAATCATGCTTTCATTCTGAGATGGTAGTAACATCCTTGTCACCAAAATGCAGAAATCCTATATAATAAAAACCTAATATGCTAAGTGTCCAGTCGACCAGTTGGCCGTTCAACCAATTAATGCATAATATGCTAATGATATGCTAAGGCTGCTTAACCGCTTGCTATGATGAGCACTGACCACCAGGGGACAGACAGTTGACCGGTCGACCAGTTGCTATGATGTGCACTGACCACCAGGGGGTAGACGCTCTGACTGGTAGGTGAGCTTGCTGCTGGGGTCAGGACTGAGCAAGATGGGCCGGACATGCCCTGGAGCCCTACCATAGTCCCTCCCCAGCTGGTCAACCTCCCATGTCTCTCCCCAGTCCTGATGGTGCACCGGTTTGTCCCTTGGCCTGACCTGTACCCTCTCACAATCTGAGACCCCTTGGGGGATGTTGAAGAGCCGGTTTCAGCCTGATCCTGCAGGCCAGGCCGAGGGACCCCACTGGGGCATAAATTTGTGCACCGGGCCTCTAGTGTTTTCATACTATGTTGCAGATGTCTTTGGACATCTAGTAGGTTTCTGGCCATCTTCCCCACCCCCATTAGTTGGTGCTTGCTCATGCAACACAAAGCAATTTGAATATGACTCTAAAAAAATCCATAGTTTGCCTCCCGCCTTCTGAATCCTACTCTGCCCTCACCCTCCAAGAGTCCCAGCCCTTTCCAAGGCCAGCAGCACAAGCCACCTCCAGACAGCAGGTCATCTGACTGCTGTTGCTGCTGTTCCCTAGCAACCAGGAAGCTGCAGGTTTAAGCTGATGGACGGACAATGCACTGATCTGACCACTAAATATTTGTTCGACATTGCTGACTTTTTGTGGTAGGAAAAAAAATGTCCCTCATGGTGCCAGGATACCTTAGTACAAAGCAATGGAAGGTGAGACTGATCAGCACTGGTCGGTCACGTTACTTCATCTGATCTGTTATCAGGAGACAGACAATCGTGTATATAAGAGCATGCTCAGTGCTTAACATGCTTTCTAATATAGCTCTGAAAACATTTCCTCTAAAACACATTGGTAATTTGTTGTGTACCCATAAAACTGCTTTGGAAGTATTTTTCTCTCTGTGATATTTAAGTAAAAATAGACTAATTAGTGTTCTGTTTTAAGGACCAATTTCTTCTCCACCAGAATATATATATTTTTTCCTTTGGAATTTGATGAAAAAGAGTAATGTGTTGCCATGGCAGAATCTCATTTAAGGCTCTGTAGCCTTTGGAAGCTTCAGTTGATTTACATCCCGATTTTCCTGGCTCTCCACTTCCTACGTTTCCTTTTGGCTGCCCAGCGTTTGCCATATTGTTGTTTTGTTGCTCAGTTCCCGGCTGCCCTGGTTGCCCACCGTGTTCTTAAGCTGCTGAAGACACTCAGTACAAACTCCGAGAGATCCCTGTGAGAAGAGCACTTTATTCCTCGCCGATGGGAAGGTAGAAAACAGTCAAAACAACAGGACATCTTCTTGTTTTTTTTGCCACATTTGAAAGAGATTTAAATTTTCTTCTATTTGAAGTTTATGGAATGTCTGCTTTGTGTCAGGACTTGTGTTTGTTTCTTTTTAGAGAAATGGCAAGAAGATAGACATATTGTTTAGGTTTTTTTTTAAACCTTACCCACCCCCAACTTCTTCTCTCAAGGAGTCCTTTCAATCTCAGAAAAATGAAATCCCTAACATTTTTATTTTTTCTAAAGGTTTTTTTTTTTTTTGGTGTATCTTAAAATAGTTCTTCCTTGACTCTCAAATCCCCTTTTCCTTTATAGTTGAGTTTCTAGAAAGAACAGTTTATATTCAGTAGCTTTATTATTTTCTTTCCCCAATCATCCTTTTCTCAAGTCTACATCCAACCACTAAACTTATTCTAACAAGGATTACTGTTATCTACGACTGCATATGCCATACCAGAACTCAACAGCGTAAAGCTCAACAACTATCTGTTCTTTATCTTGGTTTTGTGGGTAACTGGGCTCAGCTGGGCTGTTCTTCCGAGTCACACGCCATTGGTTGGGTTACAGTCCTCTCTCTGCAGGCATGATCAGGTTGGAATGTCTAAGACAGCTTGAAAGTTGCTGCTGGATGCCAGCTGGGAGGTCGCCTGGAGCTGTTGACCAGATGCCTGGGAGGTTCCCCGGGCAGCTTGGACTTCTCACAGCATGAAGGCTGGGTTCCAAGAGCATTCCAAGTGCAAAGGCAGAGCTGAAGGTCTCCTAAGGCCTTAGCCTAGGAAGTTTTACCGTCTCACTTCTCCCCACATTCCTTTGGTGAAAATGGGTCACAGGGCAAGCCAAATTCAACAGGAGGGTAAACAGAAGCCACCTCTTGACAGGTTGGTGGATGGTCACGCTGCAAAGCGGATGTGAGATGCTGTAGCCATCTTGTAAACACAATTACTTGGGATCAACCAATCAACCCAACCAATCTTCTGTAGCTTTAGCAGGATTAACCACTCTCCATGGGTGATTGATGGTGCTGCCTCCCGGTGTCCTTTCTATCTCTTCCCACTCATCCTTAGCCTTCTCCATTTTTTCTTTCCCCCCTTGCCCCTGCCATATCAGTATTCCCCAAGGTTCTTCACCTTCGTATCTTTTTAGTCTCCGTTTCTTTCTTGGAAAATTATATCTGCACTCAAGGCATGAAAGGTAATGTACTTAATTCAAGAAATGAATTGGAAGCCAAATGCCCACCAATGGAAATGATTGAATGAATTGTGGTACATCTGTATTGTTGAACTTTTTGCATCTATTCTGCAGGTGGGAATAGTCTGTATTAAACTAGAAAGAAGTCTGTGATATATTATTAAGAGAAAGATGCATGAAAAATGTTATAGTATAATAGAGGGGTGTGTATACATTTGCATATGTTTTATGAGCAAAGTGCATATGGAAAGATATGCTTCAACCTGGTAACATTGGTTATATTGAACATGCCTTATTATTGTAATTAACAATCAACTTGAAAGTAATCAGGGTATTCAGAAATTAAGAACAGATACAAATCTGTAGACAATAAAGATAGAAGATAGTGCAGAATAATATTTCCTTAATGGCTTAGAGAATGTCTAAAAAAATGCAGATCTCTATTTTTTTTTGCACGTGTCGAATGCTTATATATGCATAGAAATAGGTCTGTAAAGATTTAGAAGAAAATGTTAACAGTAGTCATTTCTGGATGGCAGATGATTTTTATTTCTCTTGGCTTATCTACATTATGCAATTTCAAAACAATGTTATTTTCATAATAGAAATAACATGACTTCTAAAAATAGAAGGTAGTACATAAAACTGGTACCATTAAGCTGCCTGTTATTTGAATACTCAAGACTTGAAAAAGCCACAATAGTATGAAATTATTGCGAAATGAATCCATTTGAGAACAGCAGTTGCCATATAACACTTTTGTTTCTTCCTTGTAGCAAAGACTGAAGGAAGAGAAGGAAGCCAAGCGGGTGCGTTTGGACGGTAGGCATGACTACCTATTTGGGATTGTAGCTTCCTGCGTGGACTTGAACAAAGCCGAGGTGGAGGATGCCATTCTTGAGGGGAGTCAGGTAGGATACATTTGAGTTCTCGCTGGCCTGATGATGGGGGACAGGGAGGGTCCGCTGACGCTGTCCAATGGCAGTAGAGGAAGGAGGGTGCCTGTTTGATCATGGATAGGACTCCATTCCGATTCCAGACAGATGCTGGCAGCATGGGTTTAGGGCTTTCCAGGTCTTTATGTTGAATCGGGTATGTATAATTGCCATTTAAATTCCACGATGCTGACGGCTCTGTCTGCATCTCTCTGAATCTATTGAGGCTGGGATCAGGCACCATGTTGGAACCTGATTTTGGAGAACAGGATTCTGCTCAGAGGCTGATTTTAAAGAAATTATTTATTTCGTTCTAACCTGGGAGGTTGGATTGTGCCATCATTTCCTGGCTTCAACTTTGGTTTGGCAGCTGAATCTGGTTTCTTTTGTTCCTGAGCTTGACTTCCCATTTTCTGCCACGATTCTACTCCAAAACCTAGGATGTGATTTGACCTTGGATGGGAAAGGTGAAAATACTGGAGATTATAATTCCCTGGGCAGCTATCAGGAACCCTGTGATGGTTCCTGAAGGCTGTTTTTCTTCTCCTTCTTCTTTTTTTTAACTTATTAGGAGAGAGAGAGAGAGAGAGAGAGAGAGAGAGCCCTTTTTGTTGAACAGGTGTCACAACACTGTTGACAATGCTTTTCAGTGGTAGGCTTATAAATGTTTAACAGTCAGCTCGGGGCACGAGAGTGGAGAGAGTGTGAATGTTTGCTGATTTCTGTTGTGTAAATACTCCCACGTGGCTGATTCCAAACTACCAACCCAAATGCTAAGTTGGGAGGCGTGTGATCCGTTGGCTGTCGCTCCAGCCATCCACCAGCTTTGTGCCTTCCTGCCGTGCCACTCCAGTGGAGTTAATAGGAGCCAGTGGGACAATTAAGTGTGGATGACTCTGAAATGGTTTGAGTATAGGATGACTCAGTCAGGGGTTGAGAGAATGCCCCTTCTCTCCTCTTGGTTCTTCTCATCACAGCTAACATTTATTGGATATTTACGCTGTGCCAGTCTCTTTTCTCAGTGATCTTCATCTGTTATCCCATTTAATCTTCTTAATACCAGGATATAGATAATATTATTTATAAAAAATAGATGCATAGAAGGAAACAGTGCCACATTGCTGATTCAGTCTTGGAGAGAGAGCTCCAGAGGGGAATTGCTTAACCCAGCGGTTCTCAACCTGTGGGTCGTGACCCCTTTGGGGGTCGAACGACCCTTTCACAGGGGTCGCCTAAGACCATCGGAAAAACACATATATAATTACATATTGTTGTTGTGATTAATCACTATGCTTTAATTATGTTCAATTTGTAACAATCAAATTGGGGGTCACCACACCATGAGGAACTGTATTAAAGGGTCGTGGCATTAGAAAGGTTGAGAACCACTGGCTTAACCCTACCCTACTTCCCAATTCAGACCTCTGGATTTGGGATCATGCAGGTGGGGTAAATGAGTCAAAGTTCTGGACTGTGGGAAGCCCCAGTTAAATTGCTCTGTCATACTCAAAACTCAGGAATATTAAAACCTGGAAGTTTAATGACAGCCTCCTGGCTCAGGCTTGCAAGCAAGGCTAGAAGGACAGGCATTTCAGGATGGCCGTGATGGAAGTATCTCTCGTCGCTTTCTTGGAGTTAATCTCATGCAGGGCATCCATCCCAGGGAAGGAAATGTAACCAAGGAAACAGGGCCACTCGCTTTTCCTCACACCCAGTGGTTTTATCCATAGCATGGTAGAAACTGAAGGGGCCTTATTTTCACATTTAAATTTTTAGGCTAGATTTTATCCTTTAAATTTTTTTTATTATAAGTTGTGGTAAAATACACATAAATGAAATGTGCCATCTTAATTATTTTAAAGTGCATGTACTACATTTTGTTTATTCATTCATCCATCAATGAACAGTTGAGTTGCTTCCATTTTTTGGCTACTGTGAATAATGCTGCTGTGAACATGATTGTGCAGATACCTCTGTAAGACCCTGCTTCCATTCTTTGGCATGTATACCCAGAAGTGGAATTTTTGGCTAATATAGTAATTCTATTTTTAATATTTTGATGAAATGCCATACTGTTTTCCATAATGACATTTTACATCCTTGCCCACAGTGCACAAGGGTTCCAGTTTCTCCACATCCTTGCCAACATTTATTATTTTCTATTTTTTTGATAGTAGCTATCCTAAAGGGAGTGCATATTTTATCATTTTCTTCCCATTTGAATTCAAAACTATGCTATTGACAATTTAAAAGAACCCCATCCTTTGGTAGCAGGCCAATTGGCAGACCTACAGGTGTACAGGGATCCTCATGGTGGGGTGGATGGGACCAGGCTCCAGGTTGCTATGGGCTGGACCGTTCCATGTCATGTGTGTTCTCATGGCATTTTTTCAGTGATTATAGTGATTACTGCAATTTAATATTAACAATTATCTGGGTTTCGAAAGGTTTGTTTTCTGATCTGCAATTGATTGAAAATAAAGCAGTCATCTATGTTTATATTTGCCTTCAACAGCTCAACACTTTAGAAAATGATCAAAAATGGAGAGACAGCCCAGCCTATATGGTTCAGTGCTTGAGCTTTGACCCATGAAGCAAGAGGTCATGGGTTTGATTCCTGGTCAGGGCACATGACCAGGGTTGCGGGCTTGATCCCCAGTGGGAGACATGCAGGAGGAGGCAGATCAATGTTTCTCTCTCATTGATGTTTCTATCTTCCCCTCCTTCTCTCTCCTCTTTCTCGAAAAAATGAATAAAAACATATTTTTTAAAAAAATGGAGAGACAATCTCTTCAAATCTGTATATGTGACAAGTATTTTTATGGTTAATTGAATTACTTCTTTGAGTTGAATCTTTCTACGTGAGGCATTTCTATGTGGCTTGTATCAAATGCAGTTGTATCTGAATGAGAAAGATGACAGTAAATGCTGATTTAAGTGCGGTTTCTAATCAAGAACAAAGTTGTTACCTTGCCTTTTCTTTTCCCCAGATTGAAAGAATTGATCGGCTTTTTGCTGTTGGAGGTCTTCGTCACCTCATGTTTTACTATCAGAATGTGGAGGTAGCAGAAACAGGTATCCAAATTCGATGGGACACAACCCAGAAATGTGTTAGATTTAATTGAGGGTGGCATGAAGCAGAAGGCCACTGTGAGACCGGAGCAGGTAGCAGTGCGGTGTGGAGGATGAGACTCAGGTTCTATTTTTACCTTAAGGAAAAGAGACAGGTATGATGGGTACCTAGCCTGGTTGTTCTATCTTTATTTGGGACGTTTTGTTTACTTTGTCAGGCTGTACTGGTAATTAAGGTACAATAAAGTAGCTTACATTTTGAGACTTCCTTTCCTTACATGCTAGTTCATTTCAAGCAATCATATTCTATAACTTCTAATGGGCATCTGTTTCTTCTCTATATAGGCACTATTTCCTTTTAACGTAGGAATTGTTGCCAACAGCCTAACGTGAGTTTTCCCCTTATATGTCACATTATGTTTATTTTCCACTGACTCTGATTCAAAGGAGTAATATTGAATGATAAGTTTAGTCAGTTTCACTTAAGAAAAAATTTGTAAACCTTTTGTGGAGTCAACTGGCAAATCCCATTTTACTTTTATGTGGATTCATATAATTCTAAAGCCAAGCTAGTGACATAAACAAATATATTATGATTATATTAACTTTTCATATGCACCCTTTTATTACCTTTTTGAAGAAAGGGAAAATAGTTATTGCTGTTGGTATATAGTGTGACTATGCTTTTTTTGTTTAAAAACTGAGCAAATTGTGCATGTATAATCTAAATGATCAGCATTTCCTCAAAATTATCTATTGATGTTTTGTGCTCAGAAAGTATTTTATATTTTGAGTAGAAAGTCAAAATAACACAGAAGTTTTGAATTCTATCCCAGGTTGCAAAGCTCATGCAACGCTGAGTTCATTCATGAGCTATGCACTGGGTGAAGTAGCCCACACTCTTGAGATTTTTGGATTCTGATGTGGGTGAGATGTTTAATTCGTTCTAAGACACTTGGAAGTTTCTGCACGATTTTTTTTTTTTACCTTAAAATTCTCTTTGCTTCTGATACCTTGGTGCCTTGTTGAAGCTTCTAGTTTAACAACTTCCTCATGAGACCCAGATGATATTAGTCAGAAGTGGGACACATTTTTGAATGAGGGAGGTAGCTTCTGGTTGCCTTTCTTGGAGGGGTTCATTGTCAGCACCCCAGTCCAGGTCTCTAGCCAGCACCACAGGGAAGAAAGAGCCCCCCGAGAAGATTCCCCTAGGAGGTCTAATCCCAGGGTCTCAGGATTCAACCTCCAGTACACTCTCCTCAACCTCTTCTGTTAGCACTAATGATCTTGCTCCTACCCCAATAGTCTTGTTTGAGCTACCAGTTCATTTGGAGATCTAACACTTTCCGGGGCAGATAAGAACACAGTGGAAGAGCTCAGAGCATACTCTGTGTACTTACATGATCCACTCATGAACTGCATGCTTGCATGACCAAAAATGAATTTTCAGATAATAATAATGATAATGCTTAGTAAGCTAATCTTTTGATAGACCTTTCTAAGGGCTTTACAGGTTTTCACTTATTTAATCCTGACAACAATTCCAGATGCTGGGTGTTAGAATTATTATTCCCATTTTTCAGATGACAAAACTAAGGCACAGAAAGATTAAGTAATTTTGCCCAAGGTCACATGACTAAGCAGGGCAGCCTGAGATTGAAGCTCTGGAAGTCCGACTCTAGAGGTCACACCGTTCGCTGCGATGCTCTTCTGCCTCTACACAATCCTGACTCTAGCATTGTAGTGAAGAGCCAACCATGACAGAGGAGGGGCAGCAGGAGGAGGTGGAGGTCTGGATTATTGCAGTTAGAGCTGGTTTTTTATCTTGGCTCTGCACCTGCCTTCAGGTTGTAGAGAGGTTTAACAATGTAGACAGTGTTCCAATCAGAGGCCCTGACACATAGCATATGCCAATTGATGCTGTCCCCTCCCTTACCCGCTCTCACTGCCCCTGGGAAGGCCCGCTGTGACCGAGGTGACTTTTAGAGCTTCAGCAAGGATCTGCTCTGCACCAATCTTATGCCTGCTCCTCTCCTTCCTGCTTTTTCCTGGGGCGACGATTTTGAAATGAAACTATGATTGAACAGGTCCTTTTAGATTCCTTTAGGGTTTAGGCTAGAGATTGTCCAGGAGTTGGACCTCCTAGGGCCCATGGATGAACCAGCATGACATATTTTATCAAGGAAGCTCCATCTGGCGATCACTGCAATAGCAGTTGTGAACCTAACATTCTTTTGCATTTGTAGGACAACCAAGCTCTTCAGGAGGAGTAAATCCTATTTCTGCAAAGACTAAAAAACCTAAAGTGTTCGTGACGGAGGGAAAAGATGTTGCTCTGACTGGAGTATGCGTGTTCTTCATCAGGCCAGACCCTTCCAGAGCCATCACCCCCGAGAACATCCACCGGGTAAGGGGCAGGGCAGCCCTCCACCCCCTTACCAAAACCACTTCCGTTCTGCGGGAGGCAGCCATTGTTTATTAAATATTCACTAAATATCTAAAGTTCCTTTCAAAGAAGTATTTTTAAAAGCACTTAAAGGAAGCAATTAAGAGGACATTTTCTTTAAATCTGTTAGGGAAGAGGACTAAATACTCAATTTATTAACAAAAACTGATGTTACATTGTGTGTGTGTGTGTGTGTGTCTTTCCTTTTAAAAAGAATTCCTCATATATAATTTACTTTATAAGACATTCCATACATTTAAAATCAGACTTTTTAAAGTGAACATATATAACTTTATTCTTTTCTGTGCAGAATAAAGTTCATCGGTACATGTCTCCCCTGCCCTTCATAGGTACATTATGTGCTTGGTGTAGATAAACTGGTAAACATCTTCTACTCTATTTGTTTCATTTTTATTGTTATGATTGCAGTTTAGAATAGTATAAAGCTTATATCTTAACCAGGGTATGAGAAATAATAATTTATTGGATGGAGATACTGAATAGAAAAACAGACAATGGCCAGACCATCTATAACAATAAAACTTTGACCTCCAACATGCAGCAACCTGTCCAGGAAAGCAACTCCCTGTCTACAAACAACAAAAAACAAAACAAAAAACAAACCCCCAGGTACCAGCCTGCTAGTCAGACTCTCAGGAAAGCCAACTAGGAAGCGAAACAGTCACTGCTGTCACAGTTGCTCAGAATGGCCAGGATTTTATTCTTGGGTGACAGTCTACTGAACTTTTGTCCGTACTTCCAATGACCTTCTCGGGGGCCAACCAGGGAAAGCCAAGCGTGCTCTCCCACCAACCACATAGGATGCCCTGCTTCTAGTTAGCCCTCCTCCAGCTTCCCCAGGCCAGCACCCCCCAATCAGGACACCCCACGAGAAGGCTCTCCCACTTCCCTGCCTGCCTATGAGGCTGTGCCGAAGGCAGGTGATGGTGGCGGACTCCCTTACTACAGCAAGCTCCCAATTACTAGCCTTTGCTTTTCTCGGGTGGTCTTTACTCACTTCCATAGGATGGTTGGTTAATGGACAACTTTCACAGAAGACTTAGTAGCTATGTTGCGGTTGAAGGTGATTTTTATAGTAAAGGGTCCCATTTGCTTTCCAGGAGGTGAGCTTTAACATGTTGGATGCTGCAGATGGGGGCCTGCTCAATAGCATGCGGCGTTTGCTGTCGGACATCTTCATTCCCGCGCTCAGGGCCATGGGCCAGGCCTGGGGTGAGCTTGAGGGGCTTCAAGAAGCACCCGCCATTCGGCAGGAGTTCCTGAGCTCTCTGGAAGGCTTTGTGAGCATCCTGTCAGGTGCGCAGGAGAGTTTGAAGGAGAAGGTAAGCACAAAGAAGTTACTCCTTCCAAAATGGTCAGGGGTGAACAAATCAACATAGAAGTGTGTAATACTTCCCTTAAATAGTCTTAATCCCACTACCTTGCAAATCTTCAAAAAAATTTCATGGGCATTTTTTGTTGTTAATCCTCACTTTAGGATATTTTTTCATTGAATTTTAGGGAGAGTGGAAGAGAGAGGGAAAGACAGAGAGAAACATCAATGTGAAACACTTTGATTGGTTGCCTCCTGCATGAGCCCTGACCAGGGCCTGGGTTGGGGAGGAGCTTGCAGCCAAGGCATGTGTCCCTGACCGGAATCGAACCTGGGACCCTTTGGTCCACAGGCTGATGCTCTATCTGCTGAGCCATCCATAGGTGTACGATTTTTGTCCAGTCTCCTCCCGTACCCCGCACACCCCTTTCCCCCCCCTCCGAGAATAGTCAGTCCACTCTATTTCTATGCCCCTGATTTCTATTATATTCACCAGTTTATTCTGTTCATCAGATTATTTATTCACTTGATTTTTAGATTCACTTGTTGATAGATGTGTATTTGTTGTTCATAATTTGTATCTTTACCTTTTTCTTCTTTTTTCT